ATACTATTAAAACTCTTGTGTCTGTAACCTTCAACTGGGTGAAACAGTGCATCATAGGGCAAGAATTTTTGAACCAAGGTACTTCAAATGGGCTTACAGAATGTGTCCACAATCCGGGACCCATTACTCCCATGCATCTGAAATTTGGCAAAGTTGTGGCCACTTCAGTGCTGCCACAGTCACACAATCATAATTTCCAATGCTCCCTGACAACTTCCCACAAGTCAATGGGGAAGCCAGCAGGAAGTTGCAAGTCCAAGGCCAGCAGGCAGGTAAGTGGCTGCTGCTGGGTGGGGGAGGGAGTGAAGGAGTGCGCAAGAGGCACAGTGCACGTCAGGGAGGGTGCCTAAGAGGTGCAGTGAGGGTCAGGGAGCATGCACAAGGATGTGGTGCAAGTTAGGAAAGGTGCGTGAGAGTGCTGGTTGGGGAGGGTGTGGTGCAGGTTGGGAAGAGTGTGCAGGGGTGCATGAGGGTGGGAGAAAAGGAAGGAAGAGGGAAGGAAGGAAGGAAGATTTCCAGTGCTCCCTGCCAGCTTCCCACGAGGAAAGTCAATGGGGAAGCCAGCAAGAAGTCAGAAGTCACTCCCCTCCCACTGCTTTTTTGCCCACCTGTAGTCATTCTGTTTCTCTGTTTAGGTAAAGAAATATCTCTGGAACGTGAACACAACGGGTCCTGGGTTGTCTAGTTTTGTATAAAAGGGGTGGAACAGATAAAGGAATCTACTCGTGAACAAAAGGGAAAACATTTCTGACCCACCTACCTTCGGTGTGATTTTCTGCTCGCTTTCCTTGACGGCTCCTCTCTCAGACTGGAGAGCTTTGCATTTCTGCTGTAGGGAATCCTTTTCTTGGCTTAAGGCTCTTGTCCCTTCTTCTCTGTTCAAACTTCTTTGGATCATTTCCAACTTCTCCATCTTTTCAGCCTCAGGGTCAGAATCCCTAGCCTTTAATTCTTCTTTTACTTGATCTAATATATGCTGCTGCTGCTGGACTTCAAAGAGCTGTTCTTTCTCCTCAAGCAAGGACCCTAGCTCTTTCTGTTTATCTTGCAGCTCTTGTATCATACCAGATAGCTTTAATTAGTTAAAGAAACATAAAAAATGCATAGTAAAAGTTTCTTATGGCTGTTCAAAATCAATCTCATTTCATTACCTAACCTAACCTATCACTTTCTTCCTTGTGGACCATTTGCCAACTGGGAATACAATGTGGTCTTAAACTTTCATGCTTTCGATTCTTTTACTGCAGATAATAAAAGAGATTTAATCTGCCTTGCCAGGAAAGATAGCAAATGGGTAGAAGCTACACACTTCATGAGTCCTTCATGACTTGCCATTTGGTACAAACCTTAAAAATCAGCAGCACTGTTTTCCACCATTTTCAGGTGGATATCAGCATGTGCCAGTATATTATATATTCATTCTAGTTGGTGGGATGAGGGCAACAGTCTTTATTCTAGAGATCTTAGCTTGAATAGAAAAGACTGAACGTATTTGACACAAAATGGGATTTTGGTTGTGCTTGTGGCATACTAGCCAAAATATTCCAAAATTGACTGATATTGTCCTTATCACAAGCAGGGAATGCTGCATGTGAGTTATGAATTAGGCTAATAATATAGCCTACATTTTCTGTATTTTTCAAAAAAGTATTAAGCCATAATTGACCAAAACTATGATGGATGACAGATGTCAATATCGGTGGGCCTGCATAAAATGCAAGAGGATAAAATAATAAAGAGCAGGAATTAATGCATAAAATGAAAAAAAAATAGGTATGCTATATATCTGTG